GAGAGGGGAAGCGCGCTGCGCAGCCTGTGCTTGAGGTCGACCAAGTCCGCGCCTGCGACGGGGCGTGTTGATCGTTAACTGTCAACTGCAGCCGGCGCCTGAGGCACACCAAAGCCGCGCCGCTGTCTCCGGCGGCGGCGACGAGGGCCCACACCGCTGGATGAGGCGCCTAGAGCAGTATCATGGACTAGCTGATGCGTTCTTCATGGGAGGGGACGGCTCAGATGGATGCGGCACCGCGAGCAGCCCGTCCCGCCGCAACGCCTCGAGCGCCTCGAGGAGCGGGCCATACTTGATAACTGATGATGAACTAAGAGAGGTTCTCTCTAAGACAGAGAATTCATGACAGACAGACAGCGTCGCCTCGAGGACGGGGGAATAGTGACAACTGATGATGAACTAAGAGAGGTTCTCTCTACGATAGAGAATTCATGACAGACAGCGTCGCCTCGAGGACGGGGTCGCTCGAGAGGCCCCGCACGCGCGTGGTCAGGAACCTACAGATTGCAACCTCGGGCAATCTCGCAGGGGAGGGGCCTTCAGATTGTAATCTCGGGCAAGCTCGGGCAAACTCTTGCAGTCTCGGGTAGTCTGCGGGATGCGGGTTCAGTGAACCCGGCGGAGTGCGTGTTTCATGCGGCTTCTAGGCTGGGGCACCCCACCGCCGCAGCGAGATATGGGGAGATGTGGGGAGATATTCCGCTTCTAGGCTGGCGGCACCCCACCACCGCGGCGTGCTCCTGCTGCTGCGCCCGGCCGTCGCCCCCCTCCTATTACATCATCACACGTTACTGTGCGCTACTCCCTGTCTATACTACACATACGCAGCGCGCTCCTGCTGCGCATGGGCGTCGCCCCCCTCCGCCGCCGCCTCCTCCTCCCCCCCTCCCTCCCGCCCCTGCCCCCCTTCCCGCTGCAGCCTGCGCCGGTACCACAGCGGGCGCGCGCGCGGGTCCTCGGTCGCACCGAGCCGGTCCGGCGCCTAATCTCCCGCAATCTCCCGTAATCTCCCGCAATCTCCCGTAATCTCCCGTAATCTCCCGTACTCTCCCGTAATCTCCCGTAATCTCTCGCAATCTCGCACCGAACCGGTCCGGCGCCTGGCCTCGGGAACTCGCGGTCAATCTCGAGACATCTCGAAGCAATCTCTAAGCAATCTCGCGTGATCTCGGGCGATCTCGGGCGATCTCGGGTGATCTCGGGTAATCGCAGCGCCTTGACAGCTCGGCGCGACAGCTGCCACTGCGCCCAGCTCTGCCCCACGCCACCGCCGCCCACCGAATCATCCTCCGCGCCTAACCTCCCGCAATCTCCCGTGATCTCCCGTGAGCTCCCGCAATCTCCCGTGATCTCTCGCCCTCCGCCTCGCCCTCCGCGCCTGCGGCAGCGTCGTCGGCGTCGCCCTCCTCCTCCTCTGGAAATGCCTCCTCCTCCTCTTCCGCCTCCTCCTCCTCCTCCTCCACCTCCTCCTCCTCCTCCTCCTTTCCCCTCCCCTCCCCTTGCCCCTCCTCATCATTCTCCCTCTACAACTCTTCTTACTTAACATAC